TCGGCCTGTGGCCGAGGACAGAGGCCACTTCATTCGCTTCGGGGATGAGAGCGTGTGTTTTCGGAAGCATACGACGGTCTACGATTTTGATTCCTGTATATATTGATCCAAGCGTGCATATACTGCGTGTAGAATCTGAAGATTTTCAGCAGACTTACTCCATCATGATTCTCCTGTGACTTGAGTGATGACTTGTTTGTCAAGGTAGACAATATGCATGATCTTGTACCGTTGTTCCAGATTTATCGTGTCGGGAGCGGCTGCCAAGCTCCTCAATCGTACGCTACAGTTGAAGAGTGCAGCCTGCTAGTCAATCAAATTCTCGGCAAACCAAGAAACAGAAGAAAAACGAAAACACCAGCACGACGTCCATGTCAGATGCGAGTATCTCTTCAACGTCGAGCGATTCATCTTCCCTGGCTGTTATTGAACCTTTGATACGTCGAATACGAGGAGGAGATTCAGTTGCTCAGTGCAGGCTAGTCAGAACAAAATACACTTCAATAACTACAGCACAGCCAAGGCAGGCATGGCACAGGCGGCTGGCTGGGTGTCAATGTCCGACGCTCATCTCGTGTCGTGCGGTCAGGTGGATCCATCTGCCTGGTCCGATATATTGGCGGGGCCGATGGTACAGATCCCTTTGCGTATCCACCCACGGCGGGGGCGGGCGAGCTTGAAACTTGGGCAGGCTGTGGATCTGTTAGACCTTTACACTTGTACCATGTATACCTACCTATGGTAGATGGGTTTTTTCGAGCCTTATTTGAGTTGGGCGCTGCCTGAAGCACTGCTGCTTTTGTGCTGAGCCGCGACTGAGTATCAGCCTGGAGGTATGACTTGCATAGCTCAGCCACAGTGCACTCACCGCAAGCTCACTCTAAGTCCTAACTTTACCGCCGTGCCCTATGGCAGGTTGTAGTGGAAGCGGAAACAGCACGCCATCTGAAGCACACCATGTCAAGCATCAGGTGAACACTTTTCTGTGTTTCACTACTAAGCTTATGGTTTTTGACTTCGACTTCTCTCCTTCCCCCAGATCTCCCTATACATCAATCACAAGGTACTGATAATTCGAATACGGCTCTCCTGTTAGACGTTGCCAGCTGCATTGGCTACCTCCATGAAATCATTAGCTTTACCACACTATTTTTTCCTAACGACAGCCATACTGATAGCCACGGGTGTACCCCTCGCGGTAGCCATTTGGCAGGGACAAATAAGCTGCGCATTTCCTTCCGTCAGTTGCGGTGCCCATGTCAACGACGCCCCCGCATCCAGAAATCCATCGCGCGCAACGGCGAATGATATTGAATCCCAGAGGGATGCGACAGAAAGAATTGGCACAGATGATGGTGTATTGGTCGCACATCGTCTCAGATGTTGGCTGAGTAGTAATCAATGACGAACAGGAAAAGAATGGGAGTGAAGTTGCTAAGTTGGCCAAGGTGGTGGTGTTGTTGGACTTGGTACGGAGCATGCAGTTTGAAGGACCATGAGTTTAGTACTACGAAGCTGCCACTTTCGCTCCTATCGGACATTTGTGAGAAGGCTTATATAGTCAAGAACACTTGAATGCTCCTGCCAAGACTGTGCTGGCTACAAGCACCAGTCGTACTTCGTCACTAACACCCAACGCGTGATTCTTTGAGAAAGCGCCACATTATGATACAATTGAGTCACTTAGCATCACTTGAGTGACCGACCTTGGACACACTTGGGTCGTTCAACTTAATGATGGACCGCCAACACGACACATGCCTTTCTGCCTCTCATTGATAGTCATAGGCCTTCGACACAGTTGAAACACAAACATGGGAGATTCGCGGAGCAATTCGTCTAGTCCTGCAGAGATTTCTTGAATGACTCCGTCTCCTCCTCATTTTGTACCAGAACCCGAGATACATCGGCTTTGTAGAGCAAACTACGTACAATGATTCATGTGGAAAATGTCAGAAACGTTTGGAATTTATGAAGAACCTCCCTGCATAATGGTCCCGCCTTGCTCTTACTCCCACTTTTGGTATTTTTAATGCAATCCAAGAACTACTGGGACACTGCAATTAGCATTGACTGAATGTTAGAGCTATTGGATGTGCTAAGTGAAGAGGGTTTTCGCAACTGATATTCACAGTCTATTGTCAGGTATCGGATGGGAGCGCATCTAAGGTATGGTGCTCTGCAGCTAGGGAAGCATCCACAGCCCTTATAACATTGCCTCCGCGGCATCGAACCCCCTGAAATGGCACCCGACCTCCCCTCCTCCGCGTCCGGTGGCTCCGCAGATGCCTCCTAACATCGAGCTTCCTGTGCATGTGCGCCTAGTCGAGGTTGATCAAGATAACTGGATAGCTGATGGGTGTTGATTGGACCCCCCATGTGCAGTTTGTTGTAAAACACAGCTGGTGTCTTTACCGGAATATGAACTCCTCGAGCTCTTTGTATGCCTTTTCAATGTTGTCATTAACAATGACGAGGTCATGGAGCCCGGGTGTTGTATCTGCGTAATCAACTCTGCCTTGGCTTGTGTCATCGTCGTTGTATATCTTCTCTTCTCATGCCCGCTCGAGACGGATCTCAGCTCACAGACTGGGGGTTTGAAGAAGACGTACAGAGCGGCGGGAATATAGGGACTTTGCTTTAGCTGCTTGATACCTTCCTGGTCAATCTCGAGGAGAACAACGGTCCCTTGAATCAAGCCTTTGGCTGCTTGGTCTATTATAGCTCGCTTGCTAGTGCCGTACATAGCACCGCTAAATGTTGTGTGCTCTATGAATCCGTTCTGAGCAATAAGAGCAGAAAACTGTGCGCGGGAGACAAAGTAGTAGTTCACCCCATCAACCTCACCTGGCCGAGGGCTTCTTGTGGTGTGTGAAACTGTAAGTGTAAAGAGTCCGCGGTGCGTGTCTTGTAGCTTCTGAATCAGGGTTCCTTTTCCCACGCCCGATGGGCCGGAGATGACGATAGTCTGACCCGGCGGCATCATTGCTTGTAGTGGCCGAAAAAAGTCGATAAGGATGGAGGGTATCGTCCAATAGGACTTTGACAAGCCGTGTACGATCCCCTTGTCGCTCTTGTCTAGCAAGTCAAGATTGGATTTCAGGTATCGAGATGAAATCGAGACCGACTGGATCTATCAAAGTTTTGATAAAGGCTGACACTGATGCTGATGCTGGGGACAGGCCGGTGGTGGTGAGTAAGGAAGGAGGTAGGGAAGGAGGGTGTGCAAATTCAAAGCTACCTGCAGAGTACGTTTATATGTTGGCTATCCAGGTGACACAACCGCTGGACCATCAAGGTCGCTCAATGATTGTGGCCCATTGTCAAACAAAACTACAACCTCATGATACCCTGATATTTCAACTCAAAGAAAAAGAACAAGGCAGGCAAAAAATCAACAGATCAAGCGCACCATCGCACCAATAACATCGCCACAAACTCATCAGCATTGTACGTTTAGCTATAAAACCCCCCTTGAGATGATTTTCCGAAGCTGTGAAGTGCAGCTAGGCCTGTTAGAGTCGAATTTAATATACAGGGACTGCAGGCCATTTGAGATAACAGATATACATCTTGAAAAACACCTCCGTAGACGTCTCGATTGCGGGCGGCTCAGCCGAGCCTGAACAAGAGCGGCAAGGCCACTAACCCGATTAGTTCAGCGCCGCCACGGCAGTGGTAGTCAAGGACATCCCTCTAAGGGGAGCCAGCTGGGAGGTGTCGCGCAGTGGCAGGTCGAAGCCTCTGAGATGACGCACATCTGGCGCTAAGAAAAGCCCCACCATCTCATGTTGGCCGCAACGCTGACGCTGCGTGCCTGAGCTGGTGCATCGTCCACTAAACGGAATGCCTGACAGCTTTAATGGTGGAGGTATTGCATCTCTGCAAAGCAGTCAGCTGTAGAAATGAGTTCGAAGGTATTCAGCACATTTCCACCCCAAGACCGTCTTAGACCCTCGTCTCAAATGCGTCTCTTGTTTCCTGTTTTCACCTTGACTTCAAGTCCGTTTCGTAGCCGCTAGAG